CTTGTTTACCTTCAAGCTTTTAAGACCCCAGACGCTATATCTTTTGATAGCTGGGCACCATCAGCTTTCTTCACCACATTTGCTTATTCACCCGCTTCCGGTCCAATTTTTAAGTGATAGTGTCTCAGGCCCCACTTGTGGGAGCAGCAACCACCGTGTTCCCAGCCCCTCGTCATTCAAGTCTTCCCAACTAAGGCCGTGGGGTGGGCGGAACGCCAGCTTCACCTGGGACGCACATCCACTCTGACCTTGGCAGTGACGGAGGAGATGGAAGGAGGTATTAGAGTCATGGCAATGTCACACTGCTGTGCCTGTGTAAATCCTTGACAGAGCAATTGCCTTCCTTGTGGCTTAGTTTCTTCATCTGGAAAATGGGGCCGGTAATAGTTCTTGTAAGGACTGGATGAGCTGATATATGTTGTACCAGACATGCTGTGAGTGCAGTGGGAGGGTTTGCTGGCCTCTTACAAGTGTGCCCCAGGCTTGGTTTCCCCATCTCATCCTCCCCTCTGGGCCACCCAGGCTGCCAGACCTCCAGTAGGTACTCAGGGCCTTGCCACCAGCCTTGGGTACCTGCTTTCCTCAGCTTGCTCCTTCCACACCTGCAGGTACCTTTCACTATGTGGGGTCCCGTGCACCTGAGCCCTGACCTTGGAGGGAGTATATGGCCTGGGGGGTGGGGCACACCAAGGCTCTTTTGCAGCCTGTGGTCCCTTTGAGGGAGCCCAGTAGTGACACTGATGCTATGGGAGTCCCAAGAAGGCAGGCAGGGCCCTAGCACCTCCTTCCATCTCACCTGTCATTGCCAAGGTCAGAGTGGATGTGGGCCTCTTGGTGAGGCTGGCATTCTGCTCCACACCACTGCCAGTCTCGGCACATAGCTGTACCTGCATGCCATCTGCAGCACAGTGCCCACATCACCAGTGCTGCTTTGTGGGCAGAGGCATGCATCCCATAAGGCCCACCCATGTGGTCCCTCATGTGGCTATTCCTGCCAGCTGCTGGGCTAAGGGCGGGGGACCCAATGCGGAGCACTGAGCTTCTGCTCCTGGAGTTTCCAGGCTAGTGAGCAAGACTCACGTGCAGTGGTTACACTGAAAGCCAAGAAGGACAACTACAGGGAATGAGGCAATGAGTCCCTGAGGGGGCAAGATGGCAGGGAGGTTGGAGATTGAAATAGATCATCTTGGAGGAGTGGGGAGGGAGAGGTGGGGACCCAAGGTGGAAGGCCAGGTAAGTACAAAGGCCCTGAAGTAAAGGGGAGGGGGCCAGAAGAGTTGAGGGGCAGCAAGGAGGCCGGTGAGACATGGGTTAGAGACCGGAGGGAATGGAGATGGTTGGTATGGGCTGTAGGGCTGACAGGGCCAGGCAGTGCCTGCTGGTCAGGAAACGAGAGAATGCACTGTCCCAACCGGATGCTTGTGGGAGTGAAGGACACGATTAAGGTGGACACTGCGACAAAAGATTAACTGGAAACCAGCCCAGATAAACTGGGACATCCCGTCACCCTCCTTCAAGGTCAAGGTAAAGAATTCAGTCTCTAAGATCAGAACGCTGCCGCTTTGGAGGCAGACCATCTGCTTTGCAGTCCTCCCACCCCCACCCATCTTTATCTTTTAAAAGCACACACATTCAGCAAAGGACACAGATATTTCTACAACAGTCTGACTTGCCTTTACCAGTGCAGACTCATGGGCTACCAGCTCAACACACACAATGTTCCCTGCGTTCCCGAAGGGCCCCTCTAGTCCTTGCCCGCCAAAGGTAACTAGCACTCTTTTATCAACCAAAATGACTCTTGCTTGTTCCCCGCAGTTGAGCTATGATCTATGCACGGTTGTTACTGTGGGTGTCAGGTGTCAGCGAGTCGACTTCGACTCATAGCGACGCTGTGCACAGCAGCGTGACACACCACCCGGTCCTGCTTGCCACCTCACCCTTGTTCCCATGCTAGAGCCCATCGTTGAAGCCACCGTGTCAATCTGTCTTGTGGAGGGCCACTTTACCAAGCAGGACGTCCTTCTCCAGGGGCTACTGTGCACTTAATCTTAAGTGCACATCTTGAGAACTGTTTACTTCTGGGTATCCCTGGGTAACCACCTCCCAAATCAAGCCAAAGCACGTTTCCAACGGCCAGTCAATGCCACTGTCCCAGAGGTAGCCCCGATTCTGACTCCTAGTCCCACAACTACTTCTGCCACACCTGTTCTTCAAAGCTAGGGGTTTACCTAGGCTCCCACCCCCAAGCCCTCATCCACCTCTCATCTGCTCACCTAGCAACCCTGCTCTGGCGGAAGCCAGCAGTCGCCCACTTCTGACTTGCCCACTACAGCCCCAGAGGCCCTCACCTAGCCTCTGGCCTCAGAGTCCCAGCCCTGGCCAGTCCCTTCTCTTCAGCCAAGGGTTGGTTCAGGGGTGAAAAACAAACAAAACCTAGACCAGCTGGGGTGGCATGGACTCCGAGTCACTGTGCCCATGTGTGTTGGGGTAGAATTGACCGTCCTAGGATTTTTCAATGGCTGTGACCTTTTGGGAGGCGCAGTGGTTACGCTTTGGGCTGGTAACTTGGAGAGGAGCAGTTTGAAATCACCAGCTGCACCAGCGGGAGAAAGATGGGCTTTCTACTCCCGTAAAGAGTTACAGTCTCAGAAATGCACAGGGGCGGTTCTACCCTGTTCTATAGGGCTGCGCTAGGAGTCAGCATCAACTCGATGGCAGGGAGTTTGGTTTTGGCAAGGTGAGCTTTTGGTCACACATCGAAAGGGCATTCTTCCGAGGTACCTGAGGGTGTTCAAATCCCAACCTTTCCACTCCTAGTCCAGTGCCTAACTCTTTTCACTACCAAAGTCCTCCCCCCCAGCCCCCAGGATCAAGTCAATCGTCAGACTCATAGCCACCTAACAGCCCAATAAATGCAGCGTTTCCTAGGTCTATGTCTGCCACCAAGTCGATTCCAGAGTAAAAATCTCATCTTTCTCCAACGGGATGGTTGGTGGACTTTGCACTTAGCAACCCAATGCGTAACCCACTACCCACCTGGGCTCTTTGCGTCTCCTAGGCAAACCCTATAAATTCCCACACTAGCCATCTGAAAGGGAGAGAATTGAATGGCCACTACCGGGGGCGTTGGGAATTAACGGGGCACCCGGGCCTGGTCGCAGTCTTGCCAGCAGATGCCCCACACAGCAGATGCCCCACACCGGGGTTCGGGTGTGTCCTGGGCAGGTCGCCGGCCCGCCCTGGACCTGTCTCCCTGTTGAACAGTCCGAGAACGGGAGCTGCTTCGGGCGCAGAGAAGCCCTGGTTTTAAAGCAACGGAGGTCACAGTGCGACCCCCGATGGCCACTGCGGCCTGAAGCCCCACCAGCAGGAACGACCCGGGGTGGGGGTGGAGGGCTGCGGACCGCGGGGCCACTGTCCCTGGGTTTCCTCGTCCCCAAAGCCTCTACGAAGCCTCTCCGGGCCTCGGGGTCCACTTCTGACCCCAGCCTCAAGGCCGCACGGACTAGGATGCGGACAGACCGCTTCCATCGCGGGGCGCTGCCCCGCGAGCTGCCCCGCGCGCACGCGCCGCTGCAATCTCGGCGGCGAACTCCCAGGAGCTCGCCACGCCCCCGGCCACGCCCCGGCCCCCCGGCCACGCCCCTTTTCTTCCCAGCATCCCGGCCTCCCTACGGCAAGCGGCGAGGCCCGCTCCCGCCGGGAGTCGGGAGCCGGAGCGCAGGGCGGGGCAGCGCGCCCGCCGGGCCCCAGCCGGCCGCTTACCCTTGCAGAGGCTCCGCGGCTCCCGCCGCCGTCCGCAGCCCTCACCGCAGCCGAGATAAACAACTTAGCGTGTGAAAGCGAGAGGAGGAGGAGGGAAATTTTTTTTTTCTAAAAGAAGGAAGTAAACAGCCGCCCCCTTTTCCAGGGGCGGGGGGAGGGGAGAACCCCTCTATCAGAAAGTCTCCCCGTCCCCGGCTGACGGGGCAGCTCCCGGCCCTCTGCAGGCTCCGCGGGCCCGGGTTCGCGGGCACGTATCCCGCGTCCCCGCGCCCCTCCACTTCGGCCGCTCCGCCGGGGGCGTCTCCTTCCACCCACCGGAGTCCTTCCCCGACGGGCGGGCGGCGACGCGGGCTCCAGTCACAGGCTCCAGCTAGCAAAATGGAGGAGGAGGAGGAGGAGGAGGGGAAGGAGCGCGGACTCGCGAAAGGGCCGCCCGGCCGCGGC